TGTGTGTGTGGTACTGGGGTTTGAATTCAGGGCTTCACATTTGCTAGTCAGGCACTCTACCACTGAAGCCAGTTGGCCAGCCCTTTTGCTCTAGTTATTTTTGAGATATAGTCTTGCATCATCCTCAGCCAGCCTGGGCCCACAATCCTCCTATTTATGTTTCCTGCAAAGCTGGGATGGGATGACAGGTGCATGCCACCGCACCCAGCTTTTTTCTGTGAGATGGAATCTTGTGAACTTTTTGCCCATATTGACCACTGGCACCCAGCTTTCTTCTGTTTAACTTTTAACTTTGAGCATTTGTGAGAGAGGAAGACTCTCTCCAAAGTCAGCAAAGAAAGAATATGAACTCTGGGATTAGGAAGACATTGATCTGAATCCCAGATCAACCAATCATTGTAGTATGGTCTTGAACACACTATCTAACTTTTACAAATACCAACTTTTAGAATGATTAAAATTTGTGTTAAGACAGAGAATGCAAAAGGAATGAGTTTGATGGGAAAGATTAGATAAAGTGATCCAGGCTCCATTTTCCTTTCTTGTGGAGGTATGTTTCATATGATTATAATCAGGTAATTTGTGAAGTAAGTATGTTTGTAATCATGAGAGTCCCTCTTTTCACATTAGTCATGTGTCTTTCCACTCTTTTTCTATGTTTCCCATCACTGCAGTCTATGCCATGACTTCCTTTACCACCTACCATCTTCTTCCTGCAACCTGCAGCATAATGGCTGCTCACTACACAGTTCCATTGGGGTGACTTGCTCCCATGTTACACAATCATTTTAAAAGAGCCTGCTCACCCTCAGTGTGTCTGTCTGACCTGTAGTTTCTTCTAGTGCTTTTTGCAATCTACTTTCTTTTTCATTGTTTGAAGTAATTAGTCAACTGTCCCCCTAGCATTTATTGAATAATCCTTATCTGGCCCCTTGTTATTTGTAAATTATTCTATATGTTCATCTGTTTCTGAACTTTATTTTTTATGAGTTCTTTTTGTTGATTCTTGTATATTACAGCATTTTATATGACTTCTTCATGTGCTTTAATATTACATGGGCTAGTTCCTCCATCCCTGTTCCAAATTCCCTGTTTCCCTGCCACATGACCATTATTTTAGAGCCAAATAGTTATAAGTATAGATAAATATTATAGTTCCTAGAAATCATCGTTATCTCCTGTATTTCCCTCCTTTTTAAAAATTAGACTTGTCAATGATTTCTCTATTTTATAGATCTTTCTAAAAATTTATATTGTACTGAGGGTTCTAATTAAAATTACAGTGAAGTTGCATATTAATTAGGAAAAGCCTTTATCTTGAGAATTTGCCATAATGAACATATTGCTTCCACATTTATTCAGATATTCTGGCATTCAATAAAGTTTTAAAGAGTCTCCCATACAGATCCAGTTTTTTTATTTGGTATATTAGGAGTTTACTGCCTGGGATAAATCAAGCCCCTCTTGAAAACATGAATTCTAAATAAGCAGTAGTGTCAGTTTTATCCATCTTAAAAATATTTATGAGAAATTCAACATATGATGTGGAAAGATTAATAAATGTTTGCTGAATAACAGCAGAAATTTTTATTTATAAATATGAAAAGATTTAAAATACCTTATGTCTTTAAAATACTTATAAAATCAATAAACCATAAACAAATCTTAGAAATATACCTAAGTATTATATTAACTAATGATAAATAAAGCAATAAAGATAACAAAGAGTAATAATTATAAATATATATGGATGATATTTTATAGGAAAATACAAATTTCTAAAATTGACTCAAGAAGAGTCGGTAGATTTTTTGTTAAAATTTATAAGGAATAGATAGTGTTTATGAGCAAACAGCCAACTGTATCTAGCAGAAAGAAAGAAAAAAACAGGAGAAACAAATATCCTGAAGAACAAACTATAGTCATTCCCTAGAGATGGTTGCTCCAGAGGTTTGATTCTAAATTGCTGTCTGGCTAGAACAAGGCAACTGTCTGCTCCACTCATTGTTCTGTGGAGTGCATGATATAGGAGCCAGCATTTTGATGCCGATAATTAATTATCCTAGAATTTTCTTTAGTATTTTATTGGCTTGTTGCATTTCTTAAATGATGTCTAGATTATTAGCAAACCAACTGTTTATTTCTTCTTCTACTGGTATTTTAGGAACTAAATGGCACTTAAAGATATCAGTAGTAACAGAATAGGAATGAATTTTCTTTAATGTCTGGAAATTCTCCAGAATTAATTTTTCCCTGTGTTAATTATAGGTTGAAGCTCCATTCATACCAAAGTTCAGAGGCTCTGGAGATACTAGCAACTTTGATGACTATGAGGAAGAAGATATCCGTGTCTCTATAACAGAAAAATGTGGGAAAGAATTTTGTGAATTTTAGAGAGGAACAAGATCCCATGGAGCTCACACTCAGTCTTTGCCCTCTGTTGAGATGAAAGGTGGAGCTGAGGCTGTCCTTGTTGAAGCAGTTACCTAGTTCCTTCATTCCAGCAACTGAGTGAGGTCGTTCTTGCCATCATCCGTGTGTGCGCTCTGCATCACCTCTGTAACGAGGCACCGCTAAGCAAGCATTGTCTGTGCCATGACACAGTGTAGACCACTTCCCTACTTCTTTTTTGGTCATCTTTCTCCCCACTCCTATATACAATTCTTCCTTTTCATTACTGTTTCTCTGAACAGTGCTCCCTTTTGTTTTGTTGGTGTTTTAGATGGGCAGTGTTATGGCTATGTGATATTTGAAAAGACAGATAAGTGTTGCTTTTATTAGTTTTTGGCAATATTGTTGCTAACCAATGGCTTGAAGGTAAACCTTCTAATAAGTTTTTTACTTTGAGTAGCTCAAACTTAGTTTTGCCAAAACTCTTAATAATTTTCAAAGATAGAGTATATTATCACCAAGGAAATTTACACAAATTAAGACAGTAACTTTCTTGGGATTCACTAATCTGGCAATAAATTTAGAATAGCTAGACCCAGCATCTTGGATTCCTATAGACCAGAAGTTTGAATGCTCTTTGATTCTTTTCAAATCATCCTCCCCTTGAGTAATTATGGGACCAGATAGATGAGTCTCATTAGTGCAGAAATATGAGTGATATGGATCCTCACCCAGTCTTTCTCCTGTGGCACCAGCATTTTCATAGGTTTTGAAGAGGAGCTCTAAGGTTTCTAAGCCTTACTCTCCTATGAGTGGTATAGCCAGTATTTTAATAGAACATGATTGATAAAAGTGGCAAATTTTAAACTTTCTCAAATAGTCCTCATTGTAAATTTTTTAAAGGAAAAGAAGCAAACTAAAAAAGGACATTGGTTTAATATTTTGCTAGCTCAAACAAATGGCTTGATTCTTGCAAACAATATATTATTAAACAATATTTAAATGAGGTTTGTGGTTTTTTGTAATGGTTAAGAACAAAAGAAATTGTGACCTGCTTATTTTATTCTGGTGTGTTATATTTATAAGTCTAAGATGGGGCACTGTCGCAACTTCTGCTTTATGCCCTGCCTCAGCAACGAGGAAAGGGACAGAGTTTATCAAACTGCCACATTTGTATTTTAATTTTGAGGTGTGGATATTTTTAGATATGTCATAATTTCTAATCTCTTTTCTCTCTGTAAACAGAGTATATGATCATGCAGATACAATTTTAGTATTTGAGTTTAGTTATTTTTATACTTTTTTTGCCAACTGACTTTACAATGTTGCTGTCATGCTGAAATTTCAAGCACTTTTGCACATTTAGGTCAGTGTTTGTTGAAAATCCATGACTTATTTTTTCCTTTGCTTTTAATTTTCCCATCTCATTTTATTTGTGTCTCAGTGATCTATCTTAAAGCAACACACCAAAATAGTTTAAGATAAACTGCATTCACTTTTTATGATCAATTACATGCACACAAAATGAATTATATTTAGTCAACCGATCCTAATGTATATAAGCGTTCTATTTGCTTTCTTATGGGTGCAGATAGGTCACTGACATCCCTCCTGTTCATCTGTACCACACCCTTATAAAACCTTTGGAGGCATTCTGAGCTGTTCTTCCCACCAATCTATATGTCTCTAGGTTGTCAAGTATTTCTGCATGGTGATGTCATATAAAGTTTGACAGTGATTTCATTTGGTCCACCTTACTTAAAATGTGCAAGAAAATTTTGAGATACTCTGCTGTAGCAAGTTTTATGTTACAAAGATATATTATGTAAACAAATTAGACCTTTGTATAAAATATCTTAATCTTTGTATCTCATTTCAACTCAAGAATGTGCTGACCAATGTATTCTGTATGTATGCTACGAATTCTATAGTGGCTTTGTTGTATATTATTGTAAAGTTATTTCAGTAAATCATGGGGAAAGACAATTCGATTATTACAGTTTAGTTTTCAGTAATTCAAAATATTTCTATGAATTCTAAAAATATTTTTTCTATAGAATTACTAGTGCCCAGCTACAGAATCTACCGGGTAGGTGGCCCCTGGCATACAGTGGTAGTGAAGGCAGTTAGGCCGTTCCATTCTACTCTATTTTAAGAACACGAACAAGCTATCAGACATATCAAAGGAGTCTCTCTGACTAATCAAGTACACTGAATTAGAATATTTAAAGCTATATAAAATTCTCATTTTCAGCCACAATGTAGCCAAGAACAGATTAAAAACTTGAATAAAAAATAAGTGGCAAAAAACAACAGTATTTAACCTCAAATTAAAATGTGAAACAGAAGAAATTACGGTTTTTTCCAGTAAATAATGAAGAGATGGCATTGTACAGGAAGGAGCCCTAAACTGACAGTCAAGACATCAGAGAGTTTCAGGCCAGAAAACTATCAGGGTGACCTTGGGTCTCCCTTCTCTTTTCTGTAGAATAGAAGAATTGCATTCGACACTTTCTGGGGTCTCCTCTAACTTTCACATGTTATGACTAGATTCTTTTTATCTGATCTTTGAAGTAAGTGTTGGTAAGGTGACATGGTTGGGGACATCTTTCTTCTTAGCTCTGACAGTGTTCTTACAATTCTTTGAATACCATGAGAACCTTGTGTCTGTCATTCACTGATGTTAAATACACAGTTGATATCAAACTGTCAACTTTACCAAAAAAGATACTGTGGCTTATGGGTATATTACTGTCTTGTTCTTGTACTGACTGCCCATTGGCCTGAAAATACTCATTGTAAGCCTAAAAATAAATCATTTCTCTTTCCCACTTACTGTTTTTCCTGCTTGTTGTAAGAATCAAATGAAATAATGTATGTGAGAGCACCTTGTGAACTGTAAGCTATCAATGTAAAATATAAAGATGTGCTGTTTCATTAATTAATTATTTGTTTAGGATGAAATTTCCTATGCACTATAGCAAGGAAATGCTTAAAAGAGCTGTGTTTTTTTAATTAATCAATAACTGCAAAATTAAAGTATCTTCAAAGCATAAAACTACTGAGTCTTGAATTCCATTTGATGCTTTTCTCTCCTGATTTATTTTCTGCTGGTACTTGCAGGAAGATTCTTAATTTTCATGTGCTTTGGTGGTAGGAGCAGAGCAATAGAAGGAAGAAAAACATCCACCAATCTACTCAAAGTAGATCTTCACTAAGAAACTGCTAGTTGCATTCATTGGTTTCTATTTCATATTCGTCTAAAGTACTACTAACGCAGTGTTGGAAATATTCATAATTATAACATTGATGCTGCAAGAGCCCTCACCCTTGCATTATAATAATGAACCCTGAATTTTATCTTTTTCTTCAGGAGTGCTTCAGGGCTCTACATCCTCTTCCTATTAAAAATAACTTGATTAGTGTGCATTTCTACAGTTGTCCTTTACTGTAAGAAATAATCATTTTTACATAATTATTTTAATAACTTACCATTTTGTTTGATGGTTATTGTAAACATTTCTAAATATTGAAGCATTTTCATAAGATGATGCTTAATATTTTTGTAGCAGTGCTTGCTTTATTCTATCATTATCAGAACTTAGTACAAATTCCAGTTTTCTCTTGTCCTTATAAAACTAATTACAAAACTCTGGACATGCCTTTAACCTAGAATTATCATCATTTGAAATCCACTTATATAATAAGTTATTTCTTATGCATAAATATTGGATATGCCGTTAAGTACTCAATTTTATTTTAGCTTTTCTGAAGATTTTTGTATGTTTATTTAATAGCTTTTGTGTCCACTGATAGGGGCTGAATAGGTTGTGTTATGAATGAAATGTGGAAGTTCTAATCTTCAGCACCTCAGAATTGCTTACAGTTGGAATAGAAGCTGTGAAGAGGTAAGGTAAATATGACTGGTATCCTTATTAGAAGAATCAGTTAGTACATAGAGAGCACGCAGAAAAAGGAAGAGCAGATGATGACATGGGGAGAAAATGGCCCTCTGTGAGCCAAGGAGAAATGTCTAGGAAGAAGCTAGTTCTGCTAAGATCTTGATCTTGGTCTTCCAGCAACTGCGAGTAACTTAATTCCTGTTCTTTAAGCTATACAGTCTATTGTGCTTTGTTATGATAGTCTTAATCACCCACAGAACTCTTTCCTATGCATTGATCTCCTTTCAGATGCTTTGTACTTGATCAAAACTAAACTAACATAGGCTTAAAAAAGTGTCTGTATGGTCACAAATGTCAGTGTACCTGCCATCTTGTTTTCTATTTATTCCTGAAACATAAGCAGGAAGCTGAAAATAGTAGCCACTAAGATTTGAGGGTTGGAAAAGGCATTGGTAACTCAAACCAATAGTGACTCCAAATAGATTTGCCCTTGGTGTCAAGCTACCCTCTCAAAGTAACAATAATATAACATAAACCCAAGCACAGCAGGTTCACTGAGTATAGTGCCTGTCTACCTGTTAATAGTGATACTAACAATGAAATGACCAGAAAGTGGGGATGGGGATAAAGGACTGACAAGGAAACCCTAGATTGGTCACCATCTGATTTTTCAGTAAATACCTTAAGCTATTAGTTTCTTCTTGTTGCTCTAACAGATCTCCATAAACTAAGTGGCTTAAGCTACAAATTACTTATTGTACAGCTATGAAGGTCTCCCATCTACAATGGGTGTCGCTGAGTTAAGGAGATGTCAACATGGCTGCATTCCTGTCTCTAGAGGACAATTTGTTTCCTTGTCTTTTCCAGCTTCTAAAGGTCTCCTGCTTTCCTTGACTTAATGACTCCATGTGTGCACCTTCAAAGCCAGCAACCTGGGGCCAAGTCCTCATGCTGCATCAAGTGTGTCTCCTCTTCTTCCATGTTGCACTTTTAAAGACCCTTGTGATTGTATTAGGCCCACCTGGATAATCCAGGCTACTGTCCCTATTTTAAGATCAACTGATGAGCAGCTTTTGTTCTATCTGCTCCCCTAATTCTCCTTTGCTCTGTAGCCTAATAAATTCACAGGGCCTGGATTAGGACATGGACATCTCAGGAGAAGGAGGAGGCATTATTCTGCCTACCACACTTAATAGTGTCATTTTAGGTGGAAAATACAATCATTTGAAAAATGGAAATAGAGACAATCTCACAATTCAGAGAACAAGGGCTTAATGTAAGATTTTCCTGAAGTATAATGCTTGGCATGCAGTTTGTATTCAAGTCCATTGTTATAGAACATTACGTTCTGTAACAATGTCAGTAATGATGTTAGTTCCAAATACCTTGAAAGATGCTCATCCTCTCTATTCCTCAGTGCAGGACATATCTCCAAGTGGCCTTGGACTGACCCAATTCTCTTGCTCCTGTGTGAAGCTCTCAGAATAAACAGAATATCCTGAGAATGCAAATTCAATATGAGGTGGAACTGTCTGGAATAGCCCAGATCTTGTTCCTGTCCCTCCTAGGGAATGCAGCATCTTAAGGAGAAGCTGCCTGGATGCCCTGGCTTTGTTCCTCTCACCCCGTGAGCAGGATGGCCTTCAGAGCTTCCTAGCAAGTCATGTGCCCCTTGGGGACACAACCTGGGGTGGGCTGTTCTCGGAGTCTCTCAGCTGCAACCAGAGTACCATGCTCAGTAGAGACTACTCCATCTACCCCAGGCAGCTTTCTCCAGCCTTGGAGACTGACTCAGAGTGGACCTAAGACTTCTTTTGTTCCTTGCTGCCTATCTGTTAGTAAAAAACTTGTTTTGTGTAACTTGTAGGTGAGCATGTTCACTCTCACTGCACTCAGGCAGTTGGTAAATGCAGCGGGCAGAAAGGTTGATGCCTGTCCCTGGTGTTTGGCATAGTGACGATCCTTGTTATCCTCTGTGCAGCAGGAATCTTCCCATGGGGTTGGTAATTAACCAACCAGTTCCACATCATTAAAATGTAAATTAAAAACATAATCAAATGCCACTAAACAACCCAATAGAAAGGCTGAAATTAAAGACTGGCAATACCATGTGTTGAGGATGTAAATCAAATAGAACTGTCATACATTGCTAATAGAAGGTAAAGCGATAGAGTCACTTTAGTAGTTTGGTATAAAGTTAATCATTCACTTACCATATGACCAGCCATTTTACTTCTAGGTTATTTACCCAAGGCAATGAAAACATATGTCCACACAAATATATGAATGTTGACAACACCTTTATAACAACTCCACTCTAAAAACAATCTAAAATATCTGGCAACAGGTTAATAGAACAAATGCTGGTATAGCAATATATGGAATACTATAAAAGAATTTAAAAGAGCAAGCTACTGATATAAGAAACAATACGAATACATCCAGCAAGCATTTTGGGCTTCATATATTTGTCAAAACTCAATGAACTATATTCTTAAAATTAGTTCAATATATCCAAATGAATGTAAGTCAAGATGCAATAAAGACACTTGCACATCCATGTTTATTGCAGCATTGTTCACAATAGCCAAGCTGTGAAAACAGGATTAAGAAAATGTGGTATCTATAAAATGAGAGAAGATATTTTAAAATTACAGATAATTTCCAAATATACACACATGATACATGCCTTGTGTAGAATATATAAAGAATTCTCACAACTCAACATCACCAATAAATAAATACCCAATTTTAAAAAAATAAAATGTGGTATCTATATGCAATGAAATTTTATTCAGCCATAAAGAAGACTGAAAGTTTGTTGTTTGAAGGTAAATGGGTGAAACTGGAGAGCATCATCTTAAGTGAAGTTAGCCAGGTACAGAAAAACAAAGGAATATCTTCTCTTATATGTGACGACAGATCTAATACACATACAAGCATTAATGATAATGACAAAATGGTGTTTTCAGGAGACCTTGGTCCTTGCATTTCCAGAATGGAAGAATCCAAGCAGAGCACATGGGTATAAATGGGGTTTGTTAAAAGTTAGGAAAGGGAATACAAAGGGAGCATGGTGGGGCCCACTGGCAGAGAGCGTTTTTCCTTTTCAGGTGCTTTTAAAACCTACACTAACCCATGAAGTAGGCAGACCCAGGGGATTCCCACCCAATAATGAACAAGTGGGGAGGGACATGGGTGATTCCCAGCCAGGTGAGGGTGGTCTGGGCCATCCCTGGGCAACCTACATGAGCCTCAAACTTTTCCTACTTCTAGTTTGCCTCATTATCATATGTATATACAAATATATACAGAATATGTTTCCAAAACTGGGACTATTAGATGAGACTAGGGGAGGAGGAAAAGAAGAAAAGAATGATAGGAAGTGAATAATAATGAAGTACATCACATCTGTGTAGAAACAAGACACAAGAAAACACTGAAGATTGTTGAACAACACAGGATGGGGGAAAAGGGTGAGGAAGAGTAGTGAAGAGGGTTTAGACTGACTTCTGCTGAGTCAAAATTCTCCCACTGAACAATGAACAGACACCTAAACAATGAAGGACAGAAATGTAACGCAGATCATGTTAAAGGGAGGGCACTAGTGGGAGGAGGAATGTAAATGAAGAAAGTGAATGTGGTTGATGTACTTTCTACAAACTATGAATAAGGAACATTGAAACCTGTTGAAGTCACCATAAGAAGGGGAATGGAATACGAGGGAGAATAATGGAGGGGATGAACCAATTTGGGATATATTACATGCATATTTAAGTGTCACAATAAAAACCCCTGTATAACTATCATAAATTAATAAAATTGTTCTTTTTTTAATAAATGAAGGACAAGAAAGGTAAAGCAGGTCCTATCTAGGGGAAGTACCAGTGGAATGGGGGAGGGCGTAAGGAAAGGGTAAAGGAGGGCAAATAAGGTAGAGGTGTTTTGTATTCATGTGTGAAAATAGGACAACAAAACCTGCTGAAATTGTTCTAATAAGAGGAGGTAAGGAAGAAAGATGGAAGGCATAAATCAAGATACATTGTAAGACATATGTAAATGTCACAATGTACCCCTGTGCAACTATAATTGCTAATAATAATTTAAAATTAATAATAAAAAATTAGATAACCTATACAAGTAG